TCCGAGTTGAACAGCTGGATGGTCCGCATCCCTTGTGGGCGGAAGTCGCCAGGCTTCTTCTCAATCGCAAAGTTCATCAGGTTCTTCCAGAGTTCCGGAACATGGCCTGAACGGAGTGGAAGGTCCCAAAACGCCGTATCACAAGAAGCCAACAGTTCCGAGAGGGCGCCTGCCTTGAAGTGGCCATTATGGAGGCCGTGGGGCTCAGAACCCTTGTTCTCAGGAGTGCGACTCCAAAAGTCCACGTGCTCTTCAACCGTCAAGGGGAAAGGACGAGACCGGTAACTGTCGTGCAGTCGACAGTGGCGAAGGAAGGCTTGGGTAGGGTAAGCCAGGGATGCATCCATCTTTGACCGACGTCGGGTCAGTAATGGTCTGTAACCGACAATTGCCAGAGCTGTCCTCCAGTTCGACTTGAATGGCCCTTAGACCGCCAGACAAACCGGAGGAACGAGCCTTACGCCTCTGACGAGTCTCCTTGCGTTGCTTCATGGACCGTAAGCGGTCATATCGTTCTCGTTGGCTTGCCGTCTTGTGGCGGACGTTAGCAATGCTCTGGGTGCGAGTAGTGACATGAGCCTTCCGCCATTTAGAAGTGAGGCCCCTCTTGGCTTCTCTATATTGACCAAGGTCTTGGGTGAGATGGGACTCAAGTTCGGCTGTAGTCAACTTCCAGGCCAAGGGCTCGTTCGTCTTGAGTAGCAGGCGACGGACCTTCCTGAAGCTCACACGGCACTGACGTCGGCCCTTGAGGAGAAGGCGCCACAAGGTGATCAGATCCCGAATCTTCCACTGACGAACCTAGAAAGAAAACTAGGGGAGGGAGGATCGTAAAAAATAATCTTCCTCCCGTTGTAAGCTGGAGAATTCCTTTCTTATTTGGACGTCCTTGTTCGTCCGTCCCCCAAACAAATCCACTTTTGAGCCATCCCAAACCCCATTTATGAAATATGAGCCGGAAAAACGGGTCATACGGTAAATTTCACAACGCTCGTGCGAAAACATTCGTTATTCGGAAAATCTTCAAATACACGTTTTTGCAGCACGGTCCTGGGCATCGGGGGGGATAGCCCCGTCGGACGGGGCTATCCCCAATTTTACGCATACGAAATAAATGTACCACACACTCGTAGACGTAAATGTTCAACATCATCAAGTTTTTCGTCCTGATCAAGCGAAAGTGCCTAGTTCTAGCCATCAATTGCCTTCACCACCAGACTGAAGCTACAAATTAGATCTGAACTACCCAATTCTCCATAAGGAATAACGATCTTTGGATTGGAGCTTTTGATGGACCAATTTTGGACTTCGCAAAAGGGACGGCGCTCCAGAAAATATATCAATCTCAAGCATGACGGGGCTCTTGTTGACACCCATTGGAAATGAGACAATGTGGCTCCTGTGATAGTGATAAGTTTTGTTGTGTTCCCTTTCCTAGACTTCATATTGGGGAATGAAACCCCGAAGCTCGT